TTCACAGCTGAGTATGTGTGCCATACTGTTAGAATGGGAGTCTCTGGAGATACTCACAGAAAGGATACAAATGGTTAAGTCCAGAAGGAAATAGGCTAAGAAAAATACTGGCGTAAAGATTTAGAAAAAGAGAAAGATTATAGACCACACCCACCATAAGCACAAGCCTGTTTATCAGTCCAAGCAGAACACAATAAATAAAGCCAGAGTCCATTTTCTCTCCACCTTTCGGGACAGGCTTTTAGAGCTAAGGCAGATGGAAGAAATGTGTAATTTCTACCCATCTGCCCCATTAAAAATAGACATCTAGTCTTAAGAGAGATGGTCATTTTGGTGTAACATTCACAAGTATTCCGTTGTCCAAAAAGTTGTACCAAAGTTATGTCTTCTAATTCAAAACTGGCCTTTCAAAAGTCTAAAAAAGTATATGCCACGCTTGCTTGGAATTAGTTAAATACTTATCTGGACAGCCACCAGAGATCAAGTAAATTCTCCTGAATTCTGGCTTTCCTTGCTAGCATTAAGTTCGTTTATGAATGCCACGCAGGAAAAGCAGGAGAGTCTCTACAGTATTTTAAGAAAATTTAACGGCCCACCTCTATATTTGTTTTGTGAGCAGAGGAGGGGGAGCCAAGGCCTGTTTGTACTCCCCCCCTTCCGCCCCCCCGCCCCCAGGCTCAGCGGCGCAGCTGGGTGGTTGCAGCTCTGACCACGGAGGTGGGGCGCCTTGGCAGCATCATCCGGCTGAACTGTACGCCTTTTCATAAAGGCAGAGGAACCACACTGTAACCCTCCCACCTGAGGAAAAGGCCTGTTTGTTCCGGAAGGCAAAGTCTAGCCTTATTTAACCAACTGCAAGCAGTTAATATAAGCACTCCCAAGGCAGCAAGAAAGCTCTAGTCTAGAACAGTACAGCCGTCCGCTTGATGAGAATTCCTCCAGAATCTGACATCCTCAAAGAGACAGCTCAGGCGCCTCACCTGACGGTTAGCCTGAAAACACTTGATCCTCTCTCCGGCTTCCAGGCCTGGGCAAACCGATAAGGCTGCGGGGCCATGCCTCCGCCCTCAAAACTTTCCACAGCTTTTTTCGTTCGGGATTCCGAGCAGGAAAAACCGCTCAGCGCACACGCATCTCGGCCTTCCCGGGCACACCTCCCCTAAAGTCGGAGCCCTTCCAGGCAGGCTCCCTTCTCTTACCCTTCCTGCAGCCGCCCGGGACGCGCAGACCCGGGCCCGGGGGTGGGGACGGCGGGGCGCGGGGGGTGGCGGGCGCCGCTCGGGCCGCGTCGGCGGCGGGACCGCAGGGCTGAAGTGCTCGCCTGGAGCCCAGGGGCGCGTGGCCGGGCGTTCCCGCCCCGCCCCCCGAGCCAGCGCCTCCGCTGCGTCGCCTCCCGCCGGGGCAGGGCAGACTGCGGAGCTGGCGGAGAGCTTCTCAGCTTGGGCCCTGGGCACTTTTTCCACGTGTAAGCCCGCGGGCCTCTTGGAGCCCCGGGGGCGGGAGGCAGCGAAGCGGAGCCCGGCGGGGGCGGTGGAAGATGGCGCGGAGGTGCGGGAGCCAGAACACCCCAGGAGGAAAGCAGCCCCGGGAGGGGTCGGCGGTGGGGTCCCCGGGGAGGGACCGTGGAAGGCAGGGGGGCGGAGCCGAGCGCCTCGGGGGTACTGACCTTCCGCGGGGCCCCCGGGACCGGCCTGAGGCTCCGTTCCACGCCGGCAGGTCCAGTGCCTCCACGCCGGGAGGCATGGTGCGGCCCCTGCGAGTCAGGAGGAGGAGGCCGAGGGTGGGACGGCTGCACCTGCCTCGGTCCCGAGGAGCCGGCCCGAGGCCCCCGCCCTCTGGTCCCCGGTGGTGCCGGGAGCTGCGGCCGGCCGGCTCCGCGTCCTGGGTGTCTGCCCGGAGGTCGGGCTGAGGAGAAGCGCCGTCTAAAGGGAACCGACCGGTGGAGCGCCGCTGCGGCCTGCGCGCCCTCCACACTGCCCCCGGGCGGCGGGGGCGCGCACTCCCTGCCCTCCGAGGCTCCTGCCTTTCTTTGCGCCCGGTTTCTACACCATTCATGACTGTAGAAATAGTCATTTCTATTTTGATGCGTTCGGGACACACTCAGTGCCAAGCCGAGGGCTGGGTACTGTGGACACCGGGATAAGAAAGAGATGGCCCGGTCTTCTAGGACTTTACGTAAACTGGCAAGTTCATTCGGATAAGTTCATTCATTGGACCGTGTATGTATTCCGAAGCGTACGATCACAAAACTCTGTGACAAGGCTCGTGTTTCGGAGATGTTAAGAGCTACGGGCGCACGAGGAAAAGAGAAACGAATCGCCTTTCGCTCGCGCGGGCACACTGGAGCGGACCCCCTGCGCAGGGAGCGCATGTCCGCGTGGCCGTGGGCTGGACGGAGGGCTGGCGCAGACTTGCAGGACCCGCGCGGCGGGATTGGGTAAGCCCGCGCTCCCGCCTGCTGCTGCCGCGGCTCTTTCCTCCCAGAGCACGAAACGGAGGGCAAGCGGCCTGCTGGAAACCAGGCATGAGTCTTAGAGATGAGGGTCTCGGGCACATGCCCCAATGTCATGTTCAGCTGCGGGTGATGCTGACTTGGCAGTTTGGGCCCGGCCGACAGCCCCTTTTCCGGGGAGTCCTATTCCTTCTTTTCCGGTGGTAGCGGCAGCAGCGAAGTGCTGAGTTCCAGGCGATCTGGATCAGCAAGTGTTTAAAAGGTTTCTGGGGTTAGCTAGGCCAGACTATTCTGCCAGGTAATTATTTTAATATGCGTCTGCAGGTAAACGTAATTGGACAAAATGATGTAAATAGATATACATAGTTGACCCTCTTTTGAAAGTCACTTTTAAGGCAAAAATGCATTTTAGAGTCCCTTTCATCAGAGGTGCCCACTGGGTACACACAGGCTTGGAAGATCCCGTCTGCGTAGTACCGTCCCCACAGGTGGGCGCAAGGGTGGTTTGGTTAGGTTCCTTTTTAGAAGAGGAGAGGAAGCGGTACAGTGCTGTTCTTGTGGAGAGGATGTGGACTCCGTGGAAAAGACAGACTGTGGCTTGACTGGAAAGTGTTGGGGGAAGTATATGGAAAGTAAGACATATTATGCTTATTGTGTAAATATGTACACATATATTACATATCATATATATACTATATGTATACACACAGTTTTTACGCTAAGGAATTTTCAAGCCTTTTTTAATTCAAAGAAAAGCCACCAGGAAGAACTACCTTATTAACCTCAAAATGCTAGGACTCCACTAGGGACAACGATCCCTTTAGAAGGGGACTGTAAACTGGGATAACTTCCTTTTGTATCCGCCAACTACTCATCATGGGTGTTTTCTAAAAACTTCAGTATTTTTACTGAATAACTCATGAGTTATTCTACTGAAAAACTTATGAGTGGGTAGTTAAAAAGAAAATTCATTGTTAACAGTGCATTTATTCAGAACATTTACCATCTGCAAGGGCTGTGTGCTTCAAGGGGCCAGGAGTAACCCTGAGTGCCCACTAGGTACGAAGCTTGATTTACATGTTATCTCATTGAACACTCAGCACTCTGTGTACTGTCATCTCCTTTTGAAATTAAGAAAATGGGTTCAGAGAGGTTTAAGTTACTGCCCTGAGGTCACCCACACAATTTGTAGTAGATCCAAGATTTCTATTCAGGTCTTTATTCTCACCACACTGCTACACTGACAGAGACTTAATTAACAAGTTACTGCCCTTGAATTGCTTTCCTGATCTGGAGAAGTTTCCTTAGTTTCACAAAGTGGAGAAGAGATATATGTACATAAATAGCTGTAATTGGTGGTACATACATTATTGATAGGTAAAAAGGTATTGTTTTTAATTTTTATAAAGGTATTATTTTAAAAATAAACAGTAAGAAATTCTTATCAAACACTGTAGAGGGAGAAATAGTTGCAATGGGAAACTCCAAGTATCTCAAATTTCAATGTGCAAATGAAACACCAGGGGATCCAGAGACTTAGATTTTCCATTTTTTAAAAGCCATAAGTTCTGCAAGAATAGCTTATATTCATTGTAAAACCTCACATTTCAACACCTGGAGTGTTATTAGGATTGTCATTATGTTAAAGAGTAAGACTTCAGAGTCTCAAGGCTATATTCATTTAACCCTTAAAACAAAATTACAAATTAACAAATAGGTTTCCTTTACAAAAAAAAAACAAAAACAGCTGCTTTGAGAAAACCTTTATTGCGTATCATTGAATTCATTTCTACTTGAATAAATAACACTCAAAACAAAGATACACGTTGTAAAAATCCCTGAAATTCCAATCAGCAGTATCCAAGGAGTGGAGACTTTGTTTCTGTGTCTATTTAAGGCATACATTTCCTACTTATTTTTACGTTTTAAGCATAATTGTTTTTCAAAATATGTTTAATGTGAGTTTTAGAACCTCTCCCCCTGAAACCTGAAACCACAGTTCTTGACCCTAAAACACTCTCTTCCATGAGACTGAATGTGCCTGTGAAGGGCAGAGTACATCACACACTTTGCGCAAGGCCATGCAAGCACTACACTAATCCTTGCAGGACTGAATATGCATTTGGTACACACTTTAATTTCTATATATGTATAGGATACTTTCAACTACGTACTTTAACACTGAAGGAGAGAAAACTTATACATGAATAATAAAAAAAACCTGATTCTTTCCAGAACTAAAAGCAGCATCATAAAACAGTTGTCCTTCGGAACAAAAATTGAGACTGTTAGCTGGTGACAGTTGTCTCTTTCTTATTCTGCGCTTTAAGAGAAGATTTTAAAATGCAGTGATTATTGATATACAGCAACCACAAACCCTCTCTCTCAGGGATGTACCCCAGAGAGTGGTTAAGACCAGGGTTAGTGAGTTGTGTTAAGTCAGACCAGGCGTTTTTCTCCACTGATGATATAATCAGCCCAGTCAGAAGAGCTGGAAGCTAAGAGCTAAAGAGAGGGATGGAGAACACATTCTAAAGCTATGGCAAAATAAACAAGAAATAACAAGAATTCAATAGCTTCTCTCCTCAAAGTTAGTTTAAAATAAACCCAACATAAAGCTGCAAAAGACATTAAATACTGCTTTTAAAAATATAAATAGTTCTTGATGAATTATAGCTATCAGTTTGCTCAAAGAAATAGTCTTTAAACATACCACACCTGATCTGAAAATATCCATATAGTTTCCCAAGTCAGCTACACATTATATTTCCCTCCAGGGCACAGATTAGCCTGATAGCTACTTTTTACAACAGCAGAATATAGATACTGGTGTGTAGTCTTTTAATCTGTATTTTCCAGAATTGGGTAGATCTTTGCATTCTGATATAAATGTACGAAGTTCAGTCTCTGGAAAGCCATCTTGTTGGTAATGCTACACAGAAGAATAAGAAAAAAAAGCTCTCATGAATAAGTCCCTTGAAAACAGCTTTATTCCAAATTCAAAATTGATCATTTGTCAAGGGAAGGGGATCTTTCTAGAGGGATAGTTCAGTCACTTCCAAGTATTTCCAGGTAGATGTAGCCTTTAGAGCTATTCTTAAGTCTAGCTAAGGAAAAGCGAGTCTAGAATTCTGCATTGTCCTCATTGGCTCTTTTGTGGGTCTAGTTCAACCCAAAATGGGCATGTTGAATCTGAGTCTGAGCTGTCTTTCCAGGGAGAGTCCAGCCTGCACAACGTTATGGAGTCTCCCTTTCAGACAGGTTTATTTAAGGGCCTTGTATTAACATCAGTTTGGGGTCTAAGATCTCTAGAACGTGCCCTGACCAGACAGGATCAGCCATCACTTGCCTACCTGACAGGTGCTGTGAGCTCATGGAAAGAGGTAAACATCTAAACTGTGAGTCTTAGACTTGTATCATCAAGAGTTGTCAACTCATATTACTACTCTTTGAGACCCTGGATATCACCCTTAAATAACATACAATTCTCTGCATGCAAAGCTAAAGGCAGTGAATTTTTAGAGCACAGTGGGGAGGGATTTGGATAAGTACAACTACACTCTTTCCCAGTGGCCGTGGTGACTCTGAGCACACATCTGCCAAGCAAGTATTGAGGACAGTCAGTTCTTGAAATCTGATTCAGTAAAAATAAAATCATGGCCCAGGCTTCATAAGCAAGTTATTCATAATTATCAACTCATAACCCATCAACTCCTGCTAACCTTTGCTTAATCCCTGGGACTATTTGTATGACATCATGTTTCATTACCCCTCTCATACCCAGAAGGTCCCCAAGTGGAAGTGTCTATGTCAATGGTATACCTAATAGTATAAAGTTATTAGAAATTTAAATATATATGGATATTTACTCTGCTTTTCCATTATTTCAAAGGGCTCAGACTGATTTTTAAACTATCCCATGTGAGTGACAATATAAATAACAGCTTTTCAAATCATATTTCTGACATGTATAAAGCATACATGGCTAGTATTTGATATATCAATCCCTTCATTCTTCTGGAGACCACGCCTCTGGGATGGTCCCAGGCAGGGCCTTGCAAAGAGTATGGGTTCAGTCACAGCACACTCCAAACTAAAGTCAATTTTTCTTTATGAAAATTGGATTTTAAAAATTCCCCATAAAATTTTGAAACGCCATATGTTTTGCTCAATCAAAGCCTACTGATTTTTAGAAGTCTTTTTTATTTATTTAAATAATCTCTATACCCAACGCGGGCTTGAACTCATGACCCTGAGATCAACAGTCACGTGCTTTCCTGAGTCAGGATCTTATAATTCTAATAAAAGTTTAGAAAGCTTGTTTGCAAAAGCTTACTTAGAGATAAAACTTTCAACATTCTCCAAATTCTAATTCTTCATTTCTGTGTCTCAGTATCTAAAATTGAAGTCTTTCTTTTCTACCCTGAAAAAACTGACATTCTATCAGTTCTCCTCTCTCTTAGGTACCATATTTTACTGCCATTCTACAAGTTCTGGAAAAATGTTGCTACTTACGGCTCTTGATGAACCTACCTTAATTGTTTCATATGTATCAGTGATCAGTGCAATGAAAAGACTTAAAATCATATATATAAAGAGGCTGATGAATGAGTAGAGGTAAATTCTGCTAAACAGCCAGACCAAGTAACTTTTTCGTTGCATTTTTGCAAACGTGGCAAACATATCATCTCCATTTATCAGAGAGAAAAGGCACTCAGAGACCACGTTCAGAGAACGGAACTGGAAAAAGGAAATAAAAAAGTCCACTTTATTCCATGTTACTTCCCAGTGGAGATTTTGTTTATGATGGCATTTTTTTTTAAGATTTTGTTTATTTATTTGTCAGAGAGAGAGAGAGCAAGAGAGAACACAAGCGTGACAGCATATTAAAAATAATGGGACCAGATATCCCAAGTTATTCCTACAAACTATGTAGTTAACCTGACAAAACTACAAGCATTTGCTATATGATATACACAACCTGTATAATGCATGGGAATAAGCAGCTCCTTCTTGATGCTCCTCTTAATGGGACAGCCTGAACTGAAGCAGAAGGGGCTGGTCTGCACTTTCAGTGCTTTTCTGAATCAAGTCTTACCGTCCCCTTTACTTACATAGAAAGAGATCCTAGAAACACTTCTGTAGTGATACCCAAGTCCTAACCGTGCATGCTCATACTTCTCATCTTAAAGCTCATTCCATTTAGGGTCATGGCATTATAATCAAGACAATAACTCTGGTAACAAAATTTTCAAATATTTCTTCAAGTTTGTCCCTATACTATTGTTTTAATAAAGTCACACTTCCAAAAGTCTTGCCTAAATAGCTTACTCTAATATATATTGATGAGTCAAACAGACTAATCTTGACCTCATATGTAGTTAAAAAAAAAAAAAGATGTAATTATCTGATATATTCCACAAAAGGAGGTGAAGTAGTTGAGTGAATCAATCATTCTCTCAAGTTGGTCACACCGTGCCAGTTTATAAACATGACACTAGATATAGTCTACCTTCAACATTTTCAGGCTGAGTCACAAAATGGAAGGAGCCCATTTTAAAAGGATAACGAGCCACTGGCACTATTTTAGGAGCTTCACGGTAACAGGAAAGAGTTGTTTATTGGTACCTTATCATGGTATGGGCCCAGCACGATCCATCCACAGAAGCAATAGCCTAAGTAAATCATAGCAGCACAGCAACAGAACCTGATGACATTGGGCAGCGCTGCCTGCAGGGTCAGAATAAGGAGCTGGGAAAGGAAGAGAAGCCATTAGAATCCACTCGTCCCTCAGCCAAAGCAGTGCACTAACTCAGAAAGATAGAAATACCAGCAGCGTGGAGATCCATGGAATCCTTACATTGTACTTCTGAAAGAAGCCGAGGTACCGAATGACTCCAAGCCACACAAGCATGGTGGAAGTCCCAAGAAGTATGCTACAGACATCATAACTTGTTAGACTCTGAAACAGTGTGGGGAGAAAAAACAGATTATTTAGCAGAAATTCATTTAGGCAAAAAAATATTTTTGGGGTTGATATGAATCAGGCACTGTTCTAGGTGCTAAGAACAAAGAAGTGAACAAAGAGACAAAATGTCCTTCCCTCATGAAGCTTGCTTTCTGGTGTGTATGGGGGAGAGATAACAGAAATAAATTAACAAAACTCTCAGTACTGATGGTAAGTGCTGAGGAGAAAATTCGGGGGAGGGGAGAAAGAATGGCTATCCGGGTTGCCTTTTAAGTGGGGTGATCAGGAAGGTCTCACTAAAAAGGTGGTATTTGAACAAAGACCTGAGGGCAGTGAGGGAGCAAGCCAAGCAAAAATCTAGGAGAGAAGTGTTTCAGGCACAGAGACAAGCACGTGCAAAGGCCCCACAGCAGGAGGATGCCTGGGAGTCAAGCCGGAGGGAGTGAGCAATGGTGGAGAGCATGGAGTCACAGAGGTAAGGGAGTAGGCAGTTTAGGGCCTCGTGGGTAATTTAACAACTTTGCATTTTAGTCTGATAGGCTGGGGAGATTGGAAAGCTCTGAACAGGAGTGAGAGGGAGTCAAGCCAGAGGGAGTGAGCAATGGTGGAGAGCATGGAGTCACAGAGGTAAGGGAGTAGGCAGTTTAGGGCCTCGTGGGTAATTTAACAACTTTGCATTTTAGTCTGATGGGCTGGGGAGATTGGAAAGCTCTGAACAGGAGTGATATGATCCCATTTGGGTTGCTATGATTAAGAGCAGACTGTCAGAAGAGTGAGAAGTCTATTGCAATAATACAGGTGACAGCTGATGGTGGCTGGGACCAGCCTGGTCATGGCGGAGGCGATGAGGTGGTTTTTGAAGGTAGATGGATAGCATTTCCTCTTGGATTAGATGGAGGGGAGAGAGGATTAGTGAATGAGAAGAGTCAAGGATGCATCTATAGCTTTTGTCTTGAGCAACTGAGAAGAGCTGCCATTAACTGAAGTCAGAAAGGAGAAGCAGGTTTGGACTGGGGAGTTCTGTTTTAGGTATGTTAAGTTTGAAAGACCAAGTAGACATCCAAATGAAAATGCGAAATCAACAGTTGGATATTTGAGACTAGAGTTCAGAGAAGAGTTCCAAGCTGGAGATATAGATTTTGAAATCATTGGCAGAGAGTTACTATTTAAAGCCATGGGACAGTGTGAGATCACCAAGACAGTGGCAGAAAAGAGCAAATGTCCAAGCCCTGCACCTTCAGGCATTGTCACTTTAGTCGGTTAGAGAGATAAGAAGGATCCAGCAAAGGATATCAGAAGACCAGCTTGTGATTTAGGATGGAAACCAGGTAAGTGATAGCCCAGTGAAGAAGCGCATCAACAAAGAGGCAGTGCTTGCAGGGTTAAAATCTGCTGATAGGTCAAGATGACGTCCCCAAATGATTCTGACACAGAGGCTTATGTATCACCTTTGGAGAACTCTGTGTAAGAGATTTCCTGACGAGATTTAAGAAACTTACTGCTATTGATTTTAAGTTTACTCAACGCAATGTTTGAAAGAAATCATTTACTCTGCAAATGTTCACATTCTGGAAAAATATTAGTGCAAATCTGATACTGATGATGGCATAAATAGGAAAAAAAATTACCTTCGCTTGAATTTCCATTTTCAGAATTGATCCAATAACTGTCAATACGTCACTAATAATAATCATAATGTACCATCCGTTGACGAATTCCATTCGATCAGAAACAGAAACTTCCTTCTTATAATGGAGGAGGAAAAAACCGACAAATTCCTTTAGGGTAAAGAGAGGAGGCACCATGAATTTCTCTGTCGATCACAGTGTCTGTAGCATTTCTAGAAAGCAGCAAGCCCTACCTGCTGAAGCTGAAGTCCTCTAATCACAGATCGAAGGCACAGGATTAGTGAGGCCAAGCTTATCAGAATAACAAAGGCATCAAAGATCATCATGTAGTGAGTGTTCTTCTGAACTGGAAGGAAAAAGTGTTACCTCCTTAACTGCTGCATTGCATACCACGGGATAGATGTCTAAGATTTATAAGGACACTCTGATTGTAATCTGTCCTCTCTGTGCACAGGTGCAAGTGATTCTTTAGGCGAATGAATATCTAGAGATGGAATTGTTGGGGGAAGGTATATACACAGTTCTAAAAAGAAATCCTAAGAAATTGCCCTCCAAAAAGATCACACCAGTTTACATACCTACACATACCTCCACATCTTCTTCACCATTGGAAATTAATAATCTTTTATTTTTGCCAACCAAAAGAGCAAATCTTATTCTCAGTGATTTGAAATGCCATCTTTAGCAGCTGCCAAATTAACTGTATGTATTCAAGAACCATCTCTTACCCTTTTGATGTTTTTGTGTATTTTAATGCCTAAGGCAAACACTTCTCAATACTCTTTTCTGGAATTTTTGTTGGCTATTCTTGCTTGTTTATTTTTCCATATATTCTTTAGAGTCAGACTGTTAAATTCCAGTAAAAATCCTACTGGTAATTTTGGGGGGGGGTCGTGTTAAATTTATAAGTTAATTTAGGAAGAATTGGAATATACGTAATGTAGAATCTCTTGTCCAAAAGAATATGATGTGCCTTTCCACTGATTCGGGTCCTTTTGCATCCTTCAGAAGCATTTTCAAATTTTATCTGAACCCATTACACTGCTTTTTAGAATAATTTAGAGTATTCAGACATTCTTTCCGCAAAGACAACAGAGAGAAAAGGCCCTGGTAAGTGTCCTTCACATGAGTATTTAAAAAAGTTAAAAGTCCTTCTTTTAAAAATTACTACAGCCATCAATAACAGATCTTTAATTATCAGCCTGCGGTCTTTTGTTCTTAATACAGTTAGCCTTCCCGCACATCCTATTAAAATATACTATCTGGATGTAAAACACTTGTTAAGAACCCATTATGTGTCAGGTGTTTCTTTAGATGCTGAGGATACAAGTGGTGACCAAGATGGGCCCCCGACTTGGGGAATTTCTGTTCTACTCAGTGTGACACACAGGGAAGTAAACAAGTAACTGAACACAATACTTCCAGACAGGAGTAAGTAATGTGAAGAAAATAAGCATAATAGCTAACAGGTTTTGCCAGGCCACACACAGTCCTAAGCACTTTGTACGTATTAACTCATTTGATCCTCACAGCAACCCCAACCAGGGGGCTGTGATTATCCCCACTTGGCAGGTGAGAAAATGCAGCACAAGGAGGTCACAGAAACTTGCCCAAGGCTACCTAGCCAGTACATGGCAGAGTCAGGATTCAAACCTTTGCAGTCTGTGTCCGGCATCTGTCACTGTGTATAAGTGGTTCTTGGCATCCCTTGGGAACTGCTGGACATGCACACCTTCCAGCCCTACCCTAGACCCACTGAATCAGAAACGGCATTTTCACAAGCTCTCTCAGCTGGCACAGAAGTTCGAGAACCACTGTTCGAAATGAGAGAGACTGGTGTGGGGGCATGGGGAGAAGAGGCTCGTTTATGCGGCACAGTAAGGGGCAGCAGGTCTCAGGGGAGACCTGAGCGGTAAGACAGAGCCACCCACGCAGAGATTCTGGAGGATTGCGAGCACAGAGTCGGCCAGCATAAGTGGAGTCAGGTGAAGAGAGGTGAGCAGAGGTCCCAGCCCTCATATGCTGTGCTACAGAGCCTGTCTTTATTTGACAAGGTAGACTGCTCCCCGCTGATAAAAAGACAAGCACTTAACACTATAGTTCTGTAGTTCAAAGTTCTGTAATGAAGCATCCTATTAACATTAGCCAAGGGGCATCTAATTGTTACCAAAATGTCTGCATCTACTTTAGAAAAACCTAAAACTAAGAAACAAACATTTAAGAGAAAGCCTGCATGCCAGGTACTTTCATATGCTCTTGTTTGTTTTCTCTATTCCAAAGTGTGTGGAGAAGTATTGTGGTGTTTACAGATGACAAATAAAATTTGTGATTCACAAACCTCAAATATTTGAAGTTACCTCATAATGAAAAGAATACTAGAATGAAGAAATTTCACTTCATTTATCCTTAATATCTCATTACCGCTTCTGAACTGTGTCAATCAACCAGTAGGAAGCCCTAAAGCAATGATTTTCCAAGTGTGGCATGAATAAGGACATCTTGCACATTCCTAGGCCTCACCCCAGACCTGCGGACTGCCTTGCAGGGAGCTGGGGAAACTGCATCTAAGCAGGGACCTGGGGTGATTCTTATGCTCACCAGAATCCAAGAACCCCTGCCCTAATCCAGCACAGCATACCAAAGGGCCTAAAAAATGAGAAAGATCAATTCTTTTCCAATTTTCTCTAGTTCAGCCCCCAAATTCTCAATCATACTTAGTCTATACCTGAATTTATGTCCATATTTCTAAGAATGTACCCTTTCCTCATTCCTGAATATAAATATAATGTGCGGGATGCTTCAGGGTCCAATCCTACCTGACCTCTCCATGGCTGTATGATCACAGGCACCAAGATTCACTTCTAAGCCTTAGTTTCTTTGTTTGTGTAAATAGGGATGCTGCCTATCTCAAGGATATTTTAAAACTATTAAAATGTAGGTAGAAGTCCTTATGCAGTAAACACTCAAAAAATATTAGTTTGGGCATATGTGATTATTTTTCCTGGGGGATCATGTGCATTTTTTGGTAGGAACTGGACTAGTGAGGGCACATGTAGAGGTCAGCAAAAGTCATTTCAATCACTAACAACTCATGCATTGCCTGGAACATCAGACACCCACAATGAGTTGATCTATTTGCAGAGAATTAGGAACTTGGGAATGCTCTGATTCTTTCATTTGATGCTCCACACATCCCAGTAATTTAATAACCCTTTTATTTTATTTAATAACCATTTTGAAAATTAGTAAAATTCACCACTTACTTGATCCGGATACATGCCAGTCTTTACATTCTCTGATGGAAATGTCATTATCTAAACTTATCTTAATTCTTCCACTATGGGCCTTATTGTCAAGTGTTATCTGTGAAGAACAGGAAAAGGGTCAAAACACACCTATAGTTCTTGAAGCAAAGATGTCTCCAGGCATTAATTAGGAAACAGATCTTTCAAGGTAACAGGATATCCACCCAGATTCTCATCCTGGACTCTCCTCCCCAAGTTGATGCTAGCTCTGTTTAACTTTGGGAAGCGCCCTTTATTTCTCTGTGAAATGAGAAAGTTGGACAAGATCTTCTGTCGAGACCTTTTAGTCTCTAAAACCCTGTATTTCTAGGACAGTATTCCAGCCCTGGACAACTTATAAAACAAGAGATCTCTCTCCTTCCCACTCTAAGTATCTCTAGATGCCCTCTTGATATGAACAAGAGCTGGTACAAGTGTGCCCTCCCCGCTCCCCGGGACTCAGCTGGAGATAGTTTGTTAATGCTGCAGCAATTCTTACTAACACAGAGGTTAATTATCTCAGGCTTGAAACATTTCAGGTGGAGGTTTTCTGATTTTCATTCTGGGCCTAGATTTCTTAGTCACTCTAGTACCATATGTATAAAAAAGGATGTGGTGACAGGGAGTCGACAGCCATGTTTTGCTTCAAGAATCACCATTCCAGACACCAGGCACCAAGCAGGACAAAGTCACACCAGAACACCTTCCATAGTCCTACTGTCTTCCCTTTCTAGCTCTCTCCACTTTCCCCATGCAGGGACAGGGAAAGCACGGAAATCAGCCATGGTTTTGTTTGGTTTGCTTTTAGTGCCTCCTCTCTCAAGTCTTAAAGAAAAAACATTCTTTCAAAAGTCTGCTCTTTAGGGGTGCCTGGGTGGCTCCATCAGTTAAGGTGTCTGCCTTCAGCTCAGGTCACGATCCTAGGGTCCTGGGATCAAGACTCATATCGGGCTCCCCACTCAGCAGGGAGTCTGCTTCTCCCCCTCCCTCAGCTGCTCCCCCTGCTTGTGCTCTCTTTCTCTCTCTCTCTCTCTCAAAAAGAAAAAATGCCTGCCATTTAAATGAGTTTTATTGAAGCTTCTTCATGTGGGGTAACTAGACATCCCTGCATATATAAGATTTCAAAGAAATTTAGTGAGTCTGGTCACTTTGTTTCTCCTCATGTTGGACTGTAAGCTTCTTTCCTTGACAAGCAACTAAAAGTGTTGTCAGTGTCTGCACATCTCCACATCCACTGGAGGACCCAGTCCATGGCCTCACAAAGGAAAGATGCTTCATATTATTTGAATGAGTCAGAAATCTTTGCCGAAGAGAACCCATGCTTTTCCCACACAGTGTCCAGGCCTTATAAATAGTAGGTGCTCACTAAATATCTGCTGAGTAAATATACTTTGGCTCAATGTTAATCACATCTCAATTGGGCTCGAAGAAGTTGAATTCTTTAAACAAAGAAGAAAAAATAATGGATAGGATTAAGAACAGATTAGATAGCGCAGAAAAAAGATTAGTGAATTTGAAGGTAGAGCAATAGAAACTTCCAAAATGAAACACAGAGAAAAAAGATTGGAAAATAAAACAAAAACACGAAACATTAGTGAGCTATGAGACAACTTCAAGTGACCAAATACACATGGAATTAGAATCTCTGAAGGGGGAGGAAGGAGAAGAGACAAAACTATTTGAAGAAGTGATGTTTAATAAATGTCAAATGTAATGGAAACTATAAACCCACAGAACCAATGCTTAATAAACCTCAAACACAAGAAACTTGAAGAAAATTACACTAAGGTATATCACAATCAAAGAGATAAAGAGAACAACTGAAAAACAGCAAGGGGGAGGGGGAATACATCCCCTGCAGAGGAACAAAGATGAAGACCACAGCATGTTTCTCATCAGAGCAATGCAAGCTAGAAGAGCAACAACATCTTTAAAGTACTGCGGGAGAAACAGTGAACCGAGAAGTCTATACCCAGTGAAACCATCTTTAAAAATGAAGATGGAGGGGCGCCTGGGTGGCTCAGTCGTTTGGGCGTCTGCCACCAGCTCAGGTCACGATCCCAGGACCCTGGGATTGAGCCCTGTGTCAGGCTCCTTGCTCCATGGGGAGCCTCCTTCCCCCTCTCCCTCTACCTGCCGCTCCCCCTGCTTATGCTCAGTCTCTCTCTCAAGTGAATAAATAAAATATTTATTTAAAAAATAAAATAAAAATGAAGATGGAATACTTTTTTAGGCATATAAAAGTCTCTCAGCAGCCCTGCACTATAAAAAATGTTAAAGGAAGCCCTTCAGATGGAAGAAAAATGATCCCAGATGAAAGCCTGGAGCTATACTAAAGAATGAAGCGTGCTGGAATGGTTACTTCATGGGCCAATATACTTTTTTCCTTATTATTTAAATTGCTTTAAAAGATAATTGTTTAAATAAAAACTGCTAACAGTGCATTATATAGTTTGTAACACATCTGGAAGTAAACTGTGTGACAACAACAACATAAAAGCCAAGATAGGAGACACAGAAATAGATTGTTATAAGATTCCTGGGCTCTACATGCAGTGGTATAATATCACTTGAAGGCAGATGATAATAATTTAAATATTTGAACTGTAAACCCTAAAAATAATACAAAAAGTTACAGCCAATAAGCTAACAAATGAGCTAAAATAGTATCCAAAAAATACTCAATTCAGGCAGAAAAAGAGAGAAACTATATTAATAATCACATATCATTTAAATGGTCTAAGCACCTCAATTAAAAGGTACAGATGATGAGGTTGGGTAAAAAAGCAAGACTTAACTCTATGCTGTTTAATAAGAAACCTACTTTAAACATGAGATACAAATAGGTTAATATCAAAAGGATGGAAAAAGATATACCATACTAACACTAATTAAAAGAAAGCTGGAGTGGTTATATTAAGATCAAACAAAGTCGATTTTAGAGCAAAGAATATATATTGGGGTAAAAAGTGCCATTTCATAATGATGTAGAAGTCAGTTCCTCAAGTGAACACAAGAATCCTAAATGTTTGTACACCCAATAAAGAGCTTCAAAATACATGATGCAAGAATATATTCAATTGCTATGAATGAATGTTAATGTACTACTTTTACATTATAAATCCAAATGATAGGCACAGGAAGGTTTCATAAATAGTTGTTGCATGAATCAAATATCTGCTATATATCTCATATACATGAAGTGTATTAGATAGACAGATGTCTTGACAACAACTTTGTTAGGTAGATGGGCATTAATTCTGTTTTATAAATGAGAAAACTGGAATTCAAACCAATTAAGTAATTTACCTAAAGTTACAAGCTACTAACTGGTGAGCTGGAATTAAAATCTAGGCTTGCCTGAATCTAAAACCCTTGCATTTTAAATCAGGCATATATGGCCCCAGTTCATGTTTACTTATAAACATAAAGTTGCACTAATTGTGTTTATTATTAAACTACCCTATTGGGGCTCCTGGGTGGCTCAGTTGGTTGGGCGTCTGCCTTCGGCTCAGGTCATAATCCTGGGGTCCTGGGATGGAGCCCCGTATCAGGTCCCCTGCTCTGTAGGGAGCCTGCTTCTCCCTTTCCCTCTGCCTGTTACTCCCTCTGCTTGGGCTGTCTCTCTCTCTCTGTCAAATAAATAAATAAAATCTTTAAAAAAATAAAAAACAAAAAAATAAACTACCCTGTAGGGCATCAGTTCCACTATAGTTCTGGGAGACACACTGCTAAATCCACAAGGCATGGGCATAGCTCGGGTCAAATCTGCAATAACAGGAAAAACAGAACATCCACCTGCGGCTAACAGGCCAGGCTGCTCTCACCACTGTACTGAGTCATGGGAAAGGGTCTACATTTTACAAATGTTTCATTTACTCATTCCACAAATATTTGTTTCATTTACTCATAGTCACCTACTATGTTCTTTCAGGGATGCAAAGATTAATAAAATGATTCCTGCCTTCAAGGAGCTTTCAGTCTAGCAGAGTTGATGATAAAAGCCTAGAAAATCCTAAAACAAAAGAGAAGGTGGGTGAGCCCATTAAAATATAAAAACAAAACCAAAAATAAAACCCTGGAGTTCAGAGCACAGAATGTGTTCCTAACTGAAGCATCACAAAGAGGGTCCAGGAAGACAGTGTCAGTTGAGCTGAGCCTTGAGGATTATAAAACTTCTGAAAAGTGCCATTTCTCAGTTCGAGAGTGGTGCAGGGGATGGTAAGGGGGAGGAGGGAGAAGAGACAAGACTGGATAATAGCTCAATTTTTTTAAAAAAGTCAAGTAATATTGAATATTCGTAACTTCCCAACTAATATTAGGATCAAAATTTGTAGCCTAATACAAAATAGTCTTTACAGTATTAGTGCTTTTTCCTGTTAAATGATATGCATAATTATTAATTAGACTATATTCTGAAATTTTTTTAACCTCAACCTCTGAAAACTTGATTTCTCTTAGCCAATTAGTTGAGTATCAAGGACAGAGCTCTGGTACAAACTACTGCTGAAGTAACAGCAATCTGGACTGTGTGAAGGTGAGTTGTATCAAATGCTGTTCCACATATGCCCCACACAGCATTGGATTACTGACCCTGAGCCTCATGGGCTGATGAGCTCACATGGGAGGCATCTTGTGCTCTCTAGAGAGCATTAATAGCTCCTTTTGCAACTGGAATGTAGAGAACAGAGATGTGGCAGGGTGGGCTGAAGGGGGAGGAACCAAAGCATCCGGAGGCAGCCCAAGGAAAGCACTGTGAGCAATAACCCAAACGCTGCACACATCTACAGTGAGGAGCCTCAGCAGCCAGAACGCCTGGCAGTGACCGTAAGCAGAGAGCCACAGACTGGTATGAGCCAACTATAGAGGACCTACAAGCTCTCTGCTACTTTTGTATTGAACACCTCCCCTGCGCCAGTTACTGGTCGGAGTACTGGAGACACTGCACTGAACAAGGCAAGGTCCCCGCCCTCACAGGACTTCCACTGAGGTACAGAGGATAGATAATCAACAAGTAAACAAGTTACCATAACAAAACAGAGCCAGCTATACCAATGCTTCCCCCAGGCACATTCAAGTGGAAACATCCTATGTATCTGACCATGCTTTAATAGGGGTAGATGAAACACGTAACGAAACCAAACAATTTTTCTTCAGCCTGGGACCAAATTCAGCCCAGCCCAAGCTTACAGTCAGAGTAAAGTCGTAACAGTCAGGGAGCTCGTGATGACGAATGGTCTGCAGATTAATGGCCTTCAGTTTAAACTGCAGCTCCACAGTTAGGAGTCTAGGAAACAGAGGAGGCTTTAGTGCAGTGAAAACATACACACACAGACACACAAGGTACACTCCCAACTGCTTCCCTCACCTATGAAAGTCCAGTGTTAAGTTGAGTTTATTTTCTTCCAGTGTTCCGATGTGAAAAGGTTCATCTGGCTCTACAAAGAAACATTCTGCCATAGAAAGAAACAAAACATTATGTGTATTGCCTAAAATAAATAAGTGAACTGCATCTTGGAAGGATAATATATTTAAGACTAGATATTCAGATTCTACTGTTCTTCTGAATTGAGATTTAAAAGCTGAAGGTCAATATCGCTTGGTTACAATGAGTCATTTGTTTTTAAGATGCAAGTGGCTACATTTCTGGAGTGGGTGAAGGGTAGGAGACCTGAACCTGAACTCTGTCTCATCTGTCTCCTATAGAATGCTCTCTTCCTTCCTGCCTTTGTGAGCCTAAACTTTGTGTCCCTTCTCCCTTTTTTGTATCCTAAGCATAAGTGTGAAGCACTTACAGTACCTAAGATAAAATTTTCTAAATTTAAAGGATCTATTTTTTAAAATACTATTTTATTTTAAAATTAAAAAAAAAAAAGGAAGACAGCATTTTAGGAGATTTCACTAATCTGTACTGTAATCCTTTACTATCCCTCTCCAAAAACCGTCCCAGTGACTATTGTTAAAAGTATCCGGATACTTAATTTTTAACTCAAAGACTTAAGTTAGTATTTTAGGTACACATTATAAATAGAACTTTGCTAATAAGAATAAGCCACTCAAGGGCACCTGGGTGGTTTAGTTGGTTAAGTGACCGGCCCTTGATTTCAGCTCAGATCTTGATCTCAGGGTTGTTGAGCTCAAGCCCTGCACTGGGCTCCACTCTGGGCATGGAGATTACTTAAAAAATAATAATAAAAATAAAATAATAATAATAATAAGCCATTCTATTCTAATTCCTGGTTCTGGTTCCTCCCTAAACCCAGCATCAAAGATACTAAGTAGAGAACGGCAGTTGAGGGGAGGGAGTTTTATATACATGATGAATTTGCAAGTACAATGTTTTATAAGGATAGTATAAGTTTATATAACTGGCTTATCCAGTGCCAAGAGGAATTGGAATATAGAGGCTAAGAATGTAGTGGCTCAGAGCACAGATAGCCTGGGTCAAATTTCAGCACTGCCTCTTACCAGCTCCATCAGGACCATATCACTTAACTCTCTGAGCCATACTTTAGTCTTCTATAAATTGAGGATAGTAATGTATCTTGCCTTATTGGTTTGTTCTTGTTGTTGTTTTTAAAAAATCATGAGTTACAGTAAAGGGCTTGGGACAGCACCTGACACATAACAACTCCCACAAATTTTCTTACTATGACCTAATAGCACAGACCAAATGAACATTTTCAGAGATGAAATTACTGGTTTTAAGGATAAATCAAGGAGCTAAAAAAAAAAAAAAAAGGAAGCTCTAGTTTCTTGAAGAACCTCACCAGTTTCAATTTCTGGATCAATGTCAAAGGTATCATTTCCAGGACAGATGTTTCCTTGCCTGTAGAAGTGCTGACAGATGGTCAGAGCAGACTGCTCCATGCCCTTGTTCTCGTAAGCATGATTCCCAACCGACGTGTTGCGGAGCTGCAAGTACTTCAAACCAAAAAGAGAAACAGAGAATGGGAACACCAGCTAGACAGAAATAAAGCCATGATTGCCTACCCACCCTGCCTATGAAACGGGCAGGTTCCAACCTGCTTTCTGGGTGGAGACGCTCACGTTCACATTCACGTCGATATGCGAGCACATGACATGTTACTGTGTGCCAGGACAGTAGCCTTCAGAAAGCACTCCCAAATTAGAGTTCTGGGCTCCAGTCTCATTTCTGTGAGCGTGGGCAAGTCACAAATTTTCTGAGCCTCTGGTTCCTTGTCTACAAAAGTAAAGGCTTACAGTACATCAACTCTGTGATCCTTCCTTCTTTAAAGAACTAAGAGCAGGAATTGATTTTTGCATTCAGTGTGAATACAAACTTTATCTCTGAACCGTTTCTTATTAAGGTCAGAGTTCTGCTTTGCTGTTGTAATACAGGAAAGGAGATACAATTGTTCTAAGCTAACTTGCAAAACTTTTTCAAAAAACAAACAAACAAAACTGTTTCATCTTTATCATTGCAAGAATACAGATTAGTCACTTTCACAGCAATATTCCCTCGTCCTAGGGAGTCCTATAAATAAAATAAAATGGAATTTTACAAATGAGGATCTCATGGTACTTTGGAATAATCATCAATTTAAACTCTGAATGGGGGCGCCTGGGTGGCTCCGTCGTTAAGGTACTTTGGAATAATCATCAATTTAAACTCTGAATGGGGGCGCCTGGGTGGCTCCGTCGTTAAGTGTCTGCCTTCGGCTCAGGTCATGATCCCAGGGTCCTGGGATGGAGCCCCACATCAGGCTCCCTGCTCGGGAGGAAGCCTGCTTCTCCTTCTCCCACTCCCCCTGCTTGTGTTCCCTCTCTTGCTATGTCTCTATCTGCCAAATAAATAAATAAGATCTTTTTTAAAAATTTTTAAAAAAAGAAGCTGCGTAAGTTGTTAAGTAGCATTATGTCCTACATGTAGGGAGCAAACAGTATAACAGTGGAGATACTCGGTTTTGAGGTTTTTGTTCTCTATTCAAGGAAATAAGTGGATTAAGCCTTGCTAAAGCTACTCTGAGCCAAAGTGGTAGTTTTATATTGGGGGTGGGAGGGTATAAGAGGTAAACAGTCCATTAAATGAAAACGAAGGTAAAAGATCTTGAGTGTGGTGAGGTCCCAAGCAGACCAGTGTGCCTGCAACGGTGTGTGATGGGAAGTAAAGCTGGAAAGACAAGCAGGGGTCATGAGGTAGAGTCATACAAGTATGGGGTCCTGTAGCCCTTCTGAGCACCCACTATTTGTGAAGCAATCCTCATAGGAATTACCTAAAGATCTGAGCCTCCTGACCACAGAAACTTGTATGTCTTGAACTTCATAAGATCTTGAAACATAGAAGATCCAAGGTGCAGGGCTGCAGGTAACCTGCTAACATTATAAGATATCCTCTGGCCAAACTTCCTTGCTGTCCTAATAAGACTCTTCGTGGAGGTCTGTGCAGGAGCTAGACGGTCAGGGGCAAGTGGTAGGACTGTCTCCAACTAAGGGAAGTCCTGGAGCTTGAGTCAGAGGACTCTAGGACAGGAATGGGGTGTGTGGGACTACGGCTGGAAGGCGGGTGACCTCTGGGACTGACCAATGGGGCCCCCAAGTGGCTGCGGCCTCGGAGGGCTTTAATCAGACTGGGCGTCTGTCCTCACTTGCCTCTGCAGCTCTGCTTTGACAGAGGAATTTTTCACACAGATCCATAATTCTGCTTAGTAACTTATGCAGCTTACTTCCATCACCGTAGATCTCTGACCAACTTACACAGTCCAAGGGCTAACAGAAAGCCCTGATGCCGTAAACACATATGTCATCCTAGCGATTTACTGTCTCACTGAGCATAGATTGTCTCTAGATAATTAAGAACCATAATTGCACTATAGTAATTTTTACTTTTGAGGGGCAGTTAATCAATGTTACAATAAAACCATTGTCATGTATGACATAAAGGCCTTACTTATTTTTTAAACAAACTTTCAGGTCTTAGTTGCTAAATATGCTCTGCAAAGCTATTATTCTCATTATTTGTTAAGGGCCCCTGAATGTATAAACTCTGAAGACTTAATGACTACTTACAACCAGGGCCATGGTTAATAATTTTAAATCTTTGAGGTACTCATGCCAACCCCTAGCTCTGATTCTTTCAAGTAAGTCTTTAAAGTTTCTGTCTCTTTGTTACTAAACTAAAGCTTTTCTCAATTTCTTGTTTCATGGAAGTTCGATGGTGATTTTTTAAAAAATAATTTTAAAATGGTTTTATACATATCATTTATACACATCATCACAGAAATACTCACCCTTCTACAGTGGAATGTCACCTTCTATTATGTACATTGCTAACAATTTCCCAGTCTGTTCTTTCTCCCAAGTAAGAACACACATACTTGGATTTACCTGGTTCACTGCAAAGGTGATCTGATCGTATACATCACTTTGTGTGTACACTGCATACGTGTCATCCATTCGGTCCATATATCCTTTCAAGAAGAGGTGTTTGAATGCTATAGTGTTCTCTTCCTTGAAAGCTACAACCATCTGGTTACTTAGCCCAAAAAAGACCAGCTTAAAAGAAGAAAAAAAAAGGGGGTTGAAAAAGCAATGGAATAAAAGGTCTCCATATAACAATCAATTTATCTATTCAAGTCTAATTCGTCCTGAATATATTCAATATATATTAAACTTTTGGTAGCTGTAAATTAATCTGGCCTTAAAGATAACATGGGCTTCTAGTTTTAAAATGAAAGAAAGTGGCTTTGCACATTTTCATGTATGATCTTGCTTATGTCGTTGCCCCCACCACCACTTTCAGAGAAGTCCTCCTTTAGGAGTTTAGAGAAGCAAGGTCACGCTGGCTAAAGAAATGGGAAGGTTTCCTTAAGAATGAAATAATGATAGAAAACCCTGGAAGCATGTGCATAACTTGGGTGGGGACATTTGAGGAGCACAGGAAAAAGGCTAAGAAGGTAGAGAGGAACTTAGCACTTTGGGGGGGACACTGAGGATCCCAGCACAATCCAACTGAAGGAACAGCAAGAAAAAAATGTCAGCAGAAAAACTGGAGGCAGATGGTGCAGGGGCTTAAATGGCAAGTAGAAGATTTTAAAATGAATTGTGCAGGATATCAAGAAGGCTTTGAAGCAGGTGTACAATGCAATATAAGAAGTTTCTTAAATAAGTCTAAGCCTCCAATCAAATGACTATAGTTAATTGTCAGTTTAATGATCAAAACTGTGACAAGAAGACCAAAAATAAAAAACAGCCTTTCAACTGATGTCTAAATTAAAGAATATTAACATAATATATCCTTACTATTCATGCAGGACTGACCCCAGAGTTTTACATGAAACTCGGTTATTCACGCACAAAAAGTTGTTTAACTGCCCCGCTGTCATATTAACGTAAGCTCTTTCAATCATACCTGAAACTTTACTCCAGGTGTCTCTTTTACCTTCTCTTCCCTCTGAAACCATCTCAATCTCTTGCTCTCTTGCTCTTTCTCTCTTGCTCTCTCTCTCACACACACACACATACACACACACACACACACACACACTGTAAGTTTAGAACATACACTCTGACTTGGATCTCAGAGTGAAGCAGGGTGTATTTTATATGGAAAAGAGAAACAACACTGAGCACCTATGTGCCATACCAGGAACTTCCTTCATACGAATCCCACAGTACAGTCCCTAACATACCCATTTTAGAGATGGGTACATAAAGGCCTAGAGAAGTTAAATAATTTTTTCAAGTCACCTCACTACCAAGTGTATAGTCAAAATCTGAACCCAAGTCTAACAGACTAAATCCAAGCTCTAGCCACCCTATCAAGCTACACAAAGTAGTACAGGGTCTTACTGGGGAAAAATTGAGCACACAAATCTTTTCTTTTCTCACCTCTCCTTGTGATGTATGCCCTGCACCCCACACATGCCAGTGTTCTCCATCTAACTGGACTTTTATTTATAAAGAGCCTCTTTAAGCCAAGTGTCCTATTTAAATCCCAAGAAGACAGCTTGATATTCCAGGGATTTTACATATAATGAAGCAGATGACTGAAAAGCCTCCAGAGAATTCCTAAAGACCAATTACAAATGAGTACCCCCTACATGCTGGCACTGAGCTGGGTCCCAAGGATGCAATGCAGAAACAACGGTCCCTGCCCTAAGGGTGTACCCATGGCAGAGAGAAAAGCCCTGTAACTCAGAGACTGTACCAGGCCTTGGGGAGAGGGAACATTTAGTAGGGTGCCTATCATCAGAGATGTCTTTCTTTTGGGGCTGCAGACACGAAATCTCCAAATGAACTTCTTTCCCCTGAGAAGAGGGGATCTGTCACCCAGTCACCGTTTTGCTTGGTTACAGAGTCTTTATGTAATATTTGCTTGGTTGATCTAAGACAGATTAAGGAAACATCACAATTAAGAAAAACCTTCGGGGAGACCTGGGTGGCTCACTTGGTTGAGGGACAGACTCTTGGTTTCAGCTCAGGTCATGATCTTAGGGTCATGGGATTGAGCCCTGTGTCAGGCTCTGTGCTTGGTAGTGAGTCTGCTTAAGATTCTCTCTCTCTCTCTCTGCTCCTCTTCACCCCCCACCCCAATCTCTCTCAAATAAATAAATAAATAAATCTAAAAAAAAGAATAAGAAAAGAAAAGAAAAATCCTCAGATGGAGCCTGGCTGGCTCAGCCAAAGAGCTGAGGGTTGTGAGTTCTCATCCCACATTGAGTGTAGAGATTACTTAAAAATAAAATCTTAAACAAAACAAAACAAAACAACCCCTCAGTTCCTTTTAAGAATGTACCTAAATGCCTTTTATATGCTTATTACTAACAGGCTTAACATCTTAAACCATTGGTCACTTTTCCTCTTGACCACCCTAGGAAACAGAGGATGGTTAAATGAGCTCCCTAGAAAAATTAGGAGTAATTAAGAACACAGGTCTTAGAATAAAATCTGAGTTGAATCTCAGTTCCACTCTTCTAGTTTCCTGACTATGACAGATTATTTTACCTCACTAAGTCTCAATATTCTCATCTGTGAAATGGGGATAATTATTCTCACCAGTAGGAAAATATATCTTCACAAGAGTAAATCATAATCACTATATATAAAGAATTGCAAAATATGATTTCCCCAAGAAATGTCAACAAAGTCAACGAAATGAGATTCAAATTCTCCTAAAATGAAGTCTTGTATTTCACTACCTATGCCACTCCTTTTTAGTTAACTCTACATTTTTCCACTGCAGGGCTGTGAGAATCCAAGCACTTGCCTTAAGAGAAAACCTTTGAAGTTTCTGAAGAGAGAGAAATTCCTAGGAAACTAGGAAGGAAAATAATCCTCTGGTTGGGCAACAGCTAGTTTTCACAGCTGATTTAGAAACCTTCAGCTTCTCTATTACAAACCAAATATTAAAATTTTCTTTTCCTAAAAACTGATGCCATTATGTGACTAAAATTGTAATTTAATGAAAGATGAGAAGGAAAAAAAGTAAGGGAAAAAAACCCCAAAGTCTTCTTTCACAAATATTGAAGAGAGGAGTTTAAGATTGTATGTTTCCTTATTTATTGTTCTCCATTATACATACAGTTCAAAGTTAGAAAAAAACACTGTCCTTACTCCTGTTACTAAAAGAGGCCTCATTAAACTCACGATTTGAGATGCTTACCTGTATAGTCACCATTGCAATTTTTAGAATTTGTATGGCAAGCTTCCATGGTTTTCTGCCTCGAGCCCAGAACTTCTCACAAGGATTCATGAAAAAAAATTTGAGTTTTCGCCTCATCCGGTCTTCTAACAGAAGCTCCTCAGAGGGCGATGTATGCTGGTTAAAAGTGCAGCAATTTTCCTCTTCCTGAGAGCTGCAGCTACTTATAACAACCACAGGATTTGCCATCTCTGGGGAGAGGGATAAAAAGACTGTTTCCATTCTGTAACTAAAGATTTGTGCCTAAAGGCACAAATCCATATTCTTCGTGATAGTAGAATAGTTGAAGAAGCCCAAACAAAGATCTGGTTTCAAATAAGCACCATTGTTCTAAACTGCACTTGAGGTGTTTACAGAATCAACTAGAATGTAACACGTCATTTTTCTTTTTGTTTCAATTACTAAGTAGATTTTCACCCAGTTGAAAGTTACTGAATTCATGGGCTGCTTCTTTCAGTAAGGATTATATGCACATATACACAGTAAGGTATACACTCTCTGCCTCATTCAGTAACAGATATAGTTAGAGCAGGATGACCTGAAAGCTTATGGAAGGGTTTTAGAAGGTAGGTGGACCCTGGAATTAGATGCAAAATTTTATATACCTGAAAATATGGCCACTTTCCCTGCAGTGATAAAGTTTTATCAAGATCATCAAAATAAGTTTAAAACCACTGAGTTAAAGGTATCAAGGTGTTATGTAGAGAACTAAGGCCGGAAATAATGAATCATGGAACACTACATCAAAAACTAATTATGTAATGTATGGTGATTAACATAATAATAAAAAAATTTAATTTAATTTAATTTAAAAAAAAAGAGAGAGAGAACTAAGGCCGGGTTTGGTGTCTAATCCTGGTTCTATGACTTGACACCTCTGTAACCCGAGGCAAGTCACTCAGCCTCTCTGAGCCTCAGTTTTTTCTTCTACAAATTGGTAATAACAATACCTATCCTCACATGATTCTGATTAAATAAAAATGCAAATAAAGCCCTTGCATAGGGTTCAACACTGAGCAAACAGCCTCACTCTCCCTGCAGCCCCAGCACCAGGGCAGCTTCCTAAACAGGCACCAAGATTCTTAAGGGGCAGTGGAGGCTCAGGAAATTTAACTAGTCTACAAAAGGGAACGCAGAAGCTCAATTTAAGTCCAAATCCCAATCAGCCACATCACTTGTATTTGATTTTTATTGGAAGCCTTATATTTATGTAGTATATTTTGGTTTCCAAAGTACACCAGATGTATTATTTCTTTTGTCGCTTTGAAAAGGATGGGGCTAGTTTTATTGTCTTTGTAGTCAGCTTTTCCAAAATGACAAAGATGTCAATCCAGAAGTGGGGACTTTTCTTGGACTTTCACTCAGATTAATTAATACTATGGAAACCCCAAACCACCTGGGAGAGTAGAGTGCTTCCATGTAGACTAGAAAGGCTGGCTCTATAGTGATATTTTTACAGTAACTTCTACTTAGAAGTCAAGGTGGGGGTAGAAGGGAATCAAACTATAGTAATACATCTAACAAGTCACTGTTTAGGTATCACCCTGCTTTTCAAGTATAGAATCCCACATTTGGTTCTGATTCAAACATTCTTAGCAAACCCGACATCTCCAGGTAATAGATATTGGCAAAAACTAGCTATGGGGAAAGTTTTTACAATATTGATTAATGAAAAGATTAACAAGGATAGTGCTGAGTCAGTAAAGCATGAAACATATTTGCAATGGCATAAAAATAGCATGTGCAGTAAGTTCAAAATGAAATAATTATGATAGAGGGCGCCTGAGTGGCTCAGTTGGTTGAGTGACTGCCTTCGGCTCAGGTCACGATCCTGGAGTCCCAGGATCGAGTCGCGCATCGGGCTCCCTGTTCAGCAGGGAGTCTGCTTCTCCCTCTGACCCTCCCCCCTCTCATGTTCTCTCTCTCTATCTCATTCTCTCTCTCAAATAAATAAATAAATCTTAAAAAAAAGAAATAATTATGATAGAACTCATTCAGGTATGGTTCTTATGTCTTAAAATCCCTGTCAAAGTATGAGTACAGAAACTCTCAGGTAAACACATAAGGGAGAGAAAAAAAGTTATTAATCCCTTAGGATTTTCATTCAAGAACATTTTATTTCCTTCTTCAAAACCCAGCATTTAAAGAGACATTATCTATGGGATGTAAAATGAAGGTGATTTTATGTTAATCAAAAAACTGGCACATGAATACCAACAATAGTAATGAAGCTGGTAATAACAAAACATGTTGGTGAATTACAGATTTGAGGGCATGTTGGTGAATTACAGATTTGACAACACATTAAGCCCTTTCTATTTTGATACAGGGAAGAAGTAAACTTTAAACAAACAAGACACACGCCGTGTAACAGTAACCCACAGGAACAAAGAGAAAATGAGCCAACCACAATTAATTTATTCAGCACATGGCATCAAGTTGTCCCCGAAGCAAGGCATTTCATTCACAAGGACTGACCACTACGCTTGCTGCAAGCGTTTAGCTTTACCAAGTCACAGAGGCCCTTCGAGGGGTGCACCGTGTTTGTTTGTCTTTTTTTTAAGATTTTATTTACTTGTCAGAGAGAGAGAGAGCACGAGCAGGGGGAGCTGCAGAGGCAGAGGGAGAAGCAGGCTTCCCGCGGGGCAGGGAGCCCGATGCGGGACTCGATCCCAGGAGTCCGGGATCATGACCTGAGCCGAGAGCAGACGCTTAACCGATTAGCCACCCAGGCTTCTGGGGGGTGCACTTTAAAAACTGCAAAGTGTCCAGACCCCTAGCCGCTGAGGGAGTGCCAACCACCCTTCACACAGCCCCGGAGCGGCGCGCGGGATGCACTGTAGGCGGAGACGCGGGTCAGGAGAGTCCATCCGAGGTACTAGGCGCGCTCTTAGAATCTACAGACTGACACACAGGTTATTTATTCACGGCGACGAGAGGATTTATTGGACTGAGCTGCAGAAATTTAGAGAAAACCAGTGAATATGTATATTTAGAAAAACCTCACAGTTGATAAAGTAACACAACCTAATTTCTTCAGAAGCGCGTTCTCACTTCACCAGACATGAAACTCCTTTCCTTCCTTCCCTCCTTCCCTCTTTGTTTCACCGGCGTCGGGACCGACTGCCCGAAGCGCTGCGGTCCGGTGCTGGGAGGAGGTGCAGCCGCTCTCCCGAGAGCGCCGCCGGCCGCAGCGCGCCTCCGCGCCGCGGGCAACTTCCATGGCTGGGCCTGGCTGGAGGCCGCCTTCGCCCAGTCCAGGGACCCTGGCTTTGGCCCCCATTTCCATCGTCCCCCCACCCCTCTAATAAAGGCCACTCGCGTCCAGAGAGGCTGGCTGAGCAACTTCAGGACCCTCTCTGAGCCCCTGCCCAGGTCTTCCAGGGCGAGACTCTGCCGCAGGTGGCTCCCTGCTCTCGGGGTCCCTGCCCCAGGCTCCCCGTTGGGCGACGATCCGGGCGGGGCTGCGCGGCAGAGGTGCGGACCACTCCCAACCCGAGCGCCCGCCCACCCCGCGGGGCCCCCGCCCGAGCCCCGGACGCCACCAGCCGCCACTGACCTTGCGGGGGCGGCGGAGCGCGCGCCGTGCCGAACCGCTGCAGCTCGCACCCGGCTCCCACCTGTGTCGCTTCCATGGCGCCGACGTCCGGGGGCCTGACACTCCCGCTGTGTCAACGACGGCTCGTCCCATCGCCGTCCCTCCCCGCACGCCGCGGGCGCCGCGGAGCGCGCGCCGTGCCGAACCGCTGCAGCTCGCACCCGGCTCCCACCTGTGTCGCTTCCATGGCGCCGACGTCCGGGGGCCTGACCCTCCCGCTGTGTCAACGACGGCTCGTCCCATCGCCGTCCCTCCCCGCACGCCGCGGGCGCCGCTCCCACGACACCTGATGCTCCGGGCGGCGCCGGGCTCGACTCACCTGCGGCTCGGGGGCAGCGTCAGCGGGGCGGGGGTGCCAGGTCTTCGCAGCTGCAGGGGGCGCGGCAGCTCTGCGCGCCGCTCCGGAAGCCTCCGAGACTCCTCTCAACCCGGTCCAACCGGAGCCCGGCCGGTGGCATCCTCCCCACTTCGGCCGCTTTGACTCGTGATCCTCTTCCCCTTTGCTCCCACTCCTTTCCACGCCCTTTCTGGGTAGTCTTTCAGCCGGCCAGGTGGGGCGAAGGAGGCCTCCGATCGAGCCCGGCGCTATCCGCGTCTCTGCACACCCCTTCACGCCCCTCCCTGTTCCCATAAACAACCCGCATAGCTCTGCTCGCGTTTCTCCGGTGCTCTGGGGTGACGCACGGTGCGGTGCAAGTGCGTGGGCTGTGCGCTTCCGACCGCAAAGGGGCCACCCCTCGCGGCCCAGGACTCTCCCTTGCATGTGGGGGGTGGACACGAGGATGGAGCCTGGAAGCAGCCTGGCTGCGGGGGAGTGCTCAGTCCTCTCCAGCGGCAGTCGGTTCTGATGTCTGCCTACAGGGGAAATCATCAAGTGTAAGACTTTGCAGGCGTGAGCCTTGTACCACCTCTAGGCCTTCAGGCTCTGCAGAATTGCCTGTAGACCGTTAACTAGACTCCTCTAGACGGGGTGCTGGGGACGGAAAGCCCTGGAAAGCTCTTAGGAGAAATGTGACTGGATATACTTGAGGTAGTGACAAAGATTCTTTGCTTGACCAAACATTAGCCATGCTGCTAAACCTCCTAGGTTCATCTCTGCATTTTCTTGTAAAATCCAGTTTTAGCAAGAACCCTGCTAAGTCAGTTTGACCAAAACACTCCCCGCCCCACATACACCCCTCAATATCTGATCATCTTCAATATGTATTTAGGTTCCCTATCCTCCACCACCCCCGGGTGAAGTCTGATCACCCTGGGCTGTTTTCAGCAAGAATCCTGTTAGGTGGGTTTAGCCAAAACAACCTTGTTGTTTGTTCTTAGTAATTTTCCATTCACTGACCCCTACATTGCTCCTGGGCTATCAATTTCCACTTGCCCATGCTGTATTATAAGTTGAACCTCATCTCTCTCCCCCACGGTAAAATCCCATTGCAGGGGTTCCTATAACTATCTGGATTGTCCTAAATAAAGTCTGCCTTACCATCTTAATCAAGTGTCATCCACTCTTTTTTTTTTCCTTAAGAGTAGCTCTTCAATTATAACCTTTCTCTTCATGAATTCTTTTTAAAAATTAAACCTGGGCGCCTGGGTG